TTACACACAATCTCCTATATACTTTAAATTATCTCTAGATTACTCATAATACCTAATATATTATAGTGCTGGGAATGTGGCTTAGTGGTAGAGTGCTTGCTTCGCATGCATGAAGCCCTGAGTTCAATTCCTCAGTATGATATAAACAAAAAACGCTGGAAGTAGCATCATGGCTCAAGTGGTAGAGCACTAGCCTTGAGCAAAAGAAGCGCAGGGACAATGCCCAGGCACTGAGTTCAAGCCCCAGGACTGGCAAAGAAAAAAAAAAAAGATGAACATCACCTAACATATTATATATGCTAGTAATGTATTACTTATGGGATACTGACAAGAAAATACTCTGTTCCTTTTCAAACAGGAATACTTTTAAGGCTATTTTCAATCTGTAGTTGGCTGAATCTAGAAATGTAGAACCCAAGGATGTGGAGAACTAAATTTCCCCTAGAAAATCCACAGGAAGAGGTTCTTTTTCCCCTGTTCTCTGCATTCAGATGATTTCTGCACACAATGTTAAAATTGTTTCCAAAGACGTTTACAAGTGTTTTCTATCCTCATTGACAAGATTGTGCCTAAAGTCAAAGCCAGATTCCACTGCCAAACACATATGTACTCAATTATATCAGTCACCTTCACTCTGTTTTCTGTATATCACAGAATAAAAGGAGATCTTATTGGGCTGGGAAGGTGGCGCAGTGGTAAAGCGCTTGCCTTGCATGCCTGAGGCCCTGGGTTCAATTCCTCAGCACCACATAAGCAAAAAGAAAAAAGCGGGAAGTGGTGCTGTGGCTCAAGTGGTAGAGTGCTAGCCTTGAGCTGAAGAGCTAAGGGACAGTGCACAGGCCCAGAGTTCAAGCCCCACGATAGGACCCAAAAAAAAAAAAAAAAAAAAGGAGATTTTATTGAAAGAACACGGAGAGATCTTTCAATCTTTTTGTCTTTTTTTTTTTTTTTTTTTTTTGCCAGTTCTGGGGCTTAAACTCAAGGACTGGTCATTGTCCCTGATCCTCTAGCACTCTACCACTAGAGCCACAGCTCCACTTCTGGCTTTTTCTGAGAAGTTTATTGGCGATAAGATTACAGGCATAGGCCACCAGTGCACAGCTTATCTTCTTTACTTTTTAAAGGGAAATAGGAAAGGCCTTAAGGATGATCCCTTCCAGTCCAATGCTTCATTGATGATAAGAGATTCAAGTAGCGTTAATATGCAGTGGGAAAAAAGACTTGAGTTGGAACCCCATTATCATGACTATCTTTGCTAGCTTTTGTGACTTTGGGTTGGTCACTTAACCTCCTTTCAAGGTTTTTAGCAATTAAGAGGAGAATAATCCTTATATCTTCTAGGGCCAGCGAAGAGCTAAAATGAGAGCTGTTTATCAACCCTAAAGTAATTATCAGCATGGTGCTGGTAGCTGAGGCCTGTAATCCTAGCTATTCCGGAGGCTGAGATCTGAGGATTGCTGTCCAAAGCCAGGCCAGGCAGAAAAATCTGGGGGTGGGGGTGTTGGGAAGCATGGTGAGCCAAGTTGGAACCAGGGAGCTTTATTAGAATGCAGCAAACTGACCAGCCAGGGACACAAGGAGCTGTAACTGTGACTGATCCAGCAATAGGGCTTAGTTTATAAAGGTACAAACCAAGAAGCAAGTGATGGTTGTATATTTCAGAAACATAATGGCATATGCCCCTGAATTCTTGAAGCCAGGGGTTGTTACAAAGATAGTTATAGGAGAGTTATTACAAAGATAGCTACAAGTGAATTATTACAAACAAAGATAGCTACAGGTGAATTATTACAAAGATAGCTACAAGAGCATACAAAACGTGCACACTGAGGCGTCTACACCCTTGAAGCAGGAGGCAGTCAATCAAGAGGGGAATGCAGAACATTGCACTGCAGGCGCCAGGAGGAGATAGGGTCAAGTCTGGGTGAAATATGTTTTAAGGTCTCCCTTTAGGGCATCTCTTTGTTTTTGGTAAAGGATCAAGATAGGCTTGAGAATGTGTGAAGTAACTTTTAAGGTCTCCCTTTAGGGCATCTCTTTGTTTTTAGTAAAGGTCAATTTCCTGGCTTCTAAGTATTCTCACACAGTCTAAGGCCTTGACAGTCTAGGAGACCCTTCCTTTCTAAGTATTCTCACATAGTCTAGGGCCTTGACAGTCTAGGAGACCCTTCCCCCCCTACACTTATCGCCAATTAACAACCAGAAAACCAGAAGTGGCACTGTGTCTCAAGTGCTATAGCACCAGCCTTGAGCTGGAAGAGTTCAGGGACAGCGCCCAGGGCCCCAAGCCCAGAGTTCAAGCTCCAAGACTGACAAAAATATAAAATAAAATAAAGGAATTGTCACATGAAAGACATTACCAAGATCTTTTGGATCCACAACCTCTGGGCTTATAAAGCACACCCGCTCATCTATAATTTTTCCTTAATTGTCTAAGTGACAATGAATTAAGAAGATATTTCAAGATCTCCTTAGAGTATTACCACCTCTCAGAGTTGAGAGATGAAGTCACTCTAAATCCTTAAATCTCACTCTTTCTCAGTCACACACACACACACACACACACACACACACACACACACACACACACACACCCTTTAGTAAAGCCCTACTCAATCCTCTCTCCCTTTCCTACTTCCCTAGAAGAATTGTTTTGTTAACTTTTATCACTCTCATGAAAATCATGCTTCCTGTAAAGAAAGTCAGGACCTCTCACTCTCTGAACCTCACCCATCCTATTGTTCCTTTAAAACCAGTTTTTAAGAAGATCATGTGAAAGAAATGGTTGAGCCACATGTTAACCTTAGTTTTTTGTTTCTTAACCAAACTCTCCTTGAGAAATTCAACAACCACATCTGGGGAATTCTCTACAACAGAGGAATGAAGATGCGGCCAGGCTGGGTGTTGCTACAGATGGTGGAACCTGGGGTGTTTTCCTGGATTGCCAAAGAGGTACAATGTATTGTTCCCAGAAACCAAATTATTGTCAGTGTTTCAATAGGGGCCTTCATCTGAAAATATCCTCACTGCTGAAGTTTTCAAACCACTATTTTCATAAGAACTCTATTTCTTCTGTGAACTTATGGCTTTATAGGTTCCCAAGTGACTGAAGCCATTATTAGTATTGTTATTATTTTTGTTTACTTGTATCTCCATAGCAGCCCATGTTCAACAATGTACTTTGCAATTCTTAATTAGTAGCAGTCCTCACAGATGCCTGGGAGGCAGAGGAGCTGAACCAGAATTAATATTCTGTGTTAGAGGAACAGAAATGTACAGAGTAGATTTTTGGCTGCCAATACTATTCAGTGATCGTCTAGCCTGAGACACCCAAGTGTCAGCCTCAATCTGGTCCTGTACTTACATTGCCTTATCTAGGACACCTCTTAGTTCTATGGCTCTTACTATCACTATTATAACACAGGAAGCACAGACCCAGCCACAGACTAAGAATCAGAGTTTACATGTGGAATATACCTCAATAATCACCTAATTGACTGTATTATTTACCTTTAAATGGGACCAGAGAGAATATCTAACTCCCAGAAGCTGTTTTACTCAGAATTCCAACTTTGTTTTGGTTTGTTTTTATGCCATGTTTTGGTGCCTTGCCTTTCTCTTTTTTTACTTTTTCTCTTTTCTTCCACCTATTTCCTTAACTTAAAATTTGTGTTGTTTAAAGTCCCAACAAGAAAACCTGGAGTACTGATTTGCTAAATCTGGTGTTCTGCCATCTGAACTAGATTGGCCTCAGGATAATATTTTTTGTCTCTTTTTTCCCTAATCCCCATTAGTAAACTGAGCCCACTGGCTCTTGACTGAGGCTTTGCTCACATCTCTCCCAGGAGCTATCTTCGTACAATTGGAAAACTGGGATTTGACCCAGGGAAGGCCAAACTTGCCTCTTCTTTTTCCTTTCTTTCTTCCTCTTTCTTTCTTTCTTTCTTTCTCTTTCTTTCTTTCTTTCTTCTTTCTTTCTTTCTTTCTTCTTTCTTTCTTTCTTTCTTTCTTTCTTTCTTTCTTTCTTTCTTTCTTTCTTTCTTTCTCTCTTCCTTTCTTTCCCTTTCTTTCTTTTCTTTCTTTCTGCCAGTCCAGGGTCTTGAAATTTGGAAATAGGTGCTCTCCCTGGGCTTCTTTTGCTCAAAGCTAGTGCTCTACCGCTTGAGCTACAGCACCACTTCCAGCCTTTTCTGAGTAGTTTATTGGAGATACAAGTCTAGTGGAATTTCCTGCTGGGGCTGACTTCAAACTGCAATCCTCAGATCTCAGCCTTCTGAGTAGCTAGGATTACACTAGTCTTTAAGCTCAAATAGAAGGCCACTTTACTGTTATATGACTAGGGCTGAGAAATCTCTCCTAGAGTTCTTTCATTTCTGTAGGAAATAAATTGATACTATTTAGAGGAATAAGAAAATTACTTTTCTCTCCTCTATCCAACCTAATGTTGTCATTTCAGATGTAGATTAAGCCACTTTGTGCTCTAATCAAGCAATTCTCCCACTTCCAGAAAAAAAAAATAGAGGCTCATCTTCCTCTAAAATTCCACTCCATACCTCTCAGAGGCTGCTAGCTCATCTGTCAATTCACAAGTAGCTTTGGGATACAATAAACAAATTAAACGAGATATAAGCTACTGAATTTTTCTTCTATTCTAGTCATCTCTAATTCTGATTTGGGTATTTTCCCCTCCCTCCTCCATCACATATTTTAGAAATTTGATAAGCTTCTGCTGTTCTTCCCTTTTTTTAAGACTACATGTTTGTAATTATATAGACCAAACATTAAATAAATGAACAAAGTTAATACTCCTGGCATCTTTGCAAACATTAAAATTTCCAAGTTTATAATCTTTCATTAGTCTGGCTACTACTAGGTTAAATGAACATTTAAAAATGCAAAGCTAAACTATTTCCTGTGAATTTCCCCATGACGCACTTGTGGCCACACCTTCTTGACAGAGACATAAAAGGCAAAGAAGCTTGACTCAGGCTGTCTCCAAGCAGAGGGAGTCATAGCATTAACACTTGAGTCGGCAAAGGTACAGTCCTTATCACAACTCTGGCTTTGAAAATACCTTTTGCTTTGCCTTTTTGCTTTCTTCTCTCAAACTACCTTCTTTAAACCTATAACCTCTTCCTTTTTTTTCTTTTCTTGTCTGTCTCTGATGTGGTATATGATTAGAAGCAGTCATATTTCAGATTATGACTCCCTTGCCTTACAAATTGGGAACTGGGGTAGCCAAACTGGATTCCTGAGAGGGCATCCATGGGCACAGCCGTATCCTCTGGAGGCACTCCTTACCACACAAAACTAGTAGGAGAAATCTGAACATTTCCAACTCTCTCTGATCTCTGTGTGGTTTTATTGATGGAATGTCTACCATGTACATTGGGCATAAGAAACATCAAAAGAAATAAAACATTCTGAAAGAAGTATGTGAAGTACTAGAGATACATAAAAAAAGAATGCAAGTGAGTGAGGAGGAGAAGAACAGGAAAACCAGTCATTTGTGGGTTAAGTTAGTCAATGAAAAATTTCAAGAAGCACAAAGTAAAGGTGGCTGTCCTACCAAGTACTTGTTTGAAGGGGGCCAACCTGGTAGCTACTGTTATTCTCTGTTGCAGAAGTCAAGATGGCAAAAGTCCCAGACCTATTTGAAGACCTGAAGAATTGTTACAGGTAAGGCATCTATCTCTTATGATTTAATAAGGGATTCAAGGCGCATTCTAGACTAGGAGTGATTGATCTAAGGTATGGCTGACAAATGCTATAATAATGCATACTGGCTCTGATATCAGAGCAGATTCAGAAAAGACTCAAGAAAACTAAGTATTCAGTGTTAAATTGAGTTGCCAGGAGATATATATATATATTGTAGAAGAACCATTTTTGAGGTGTGTTGAACCCTACCTGAGTGTTACTATCGACTTAGACACTGTCTCCATCGATTTCCTATGGTTAACTAGAGTAATTAAGTTTTAATAGACTGCCTAAGGGAGAACCTATTAGGAAAACAGGATTCCAGTCAGGGAGGATGAAATAGCTCCATAGCAATTAGGCTGTACATAATCAAACCTCATTCAGATACAGCAGAACGATAAATGTGTGAAGTTGAAATTAAACAATATTTTAAATTAACACAATACTTCCATAACCTCCCAACATTGTTAATACATCTATTGTTACCAGGATATTTTTCCAAATGTAAATTATTGTATACACTTTAGTGAATAGATGGGGAAAATGTATAACAGGATTTATGTGTTATTTCAAAATATTTTTTTCTCTTAAGCAATTTAACTCTTTTCTCTGTAGTTCAATTAAAGCTATTCAAGTTGTTAGCCAAGCCAGTTTTTATAAGTAGAGAATAAAAATATACAAGGCTCATTTTAATAATTATTAATTTCAAATTAGTAAATATGAATTACTATATATTTTTTAATTTTTTAATTTATGAAAGTCTTTTATTTACAAAGATCATGAGTGTGTGTTTCCAGAGCTACTATGGTCATTAAAATATAATGTCTGATGACTATTATGAGATAAAAAAACACAACTACATTCTGATTGTTTTTCTGACAGTGAAGGTGAAGAATACAGTTCTGCTGTTGACTATGTCTCTCTGAATCAGGTAAGCAAATGCCTGCCTGTATTATGGGTCTGCTTTCTATACATGAAGTTCCTTCACCAAAAGAGCACAACAATGAATGAAATCTTTAGATACTTTTTCCTCTCACTAAAGATCCAGAGACCCACATTTCTTGATTATCAAGGAAACAACTTGCCTCTTCATACTAGTAGTTAAGGGCATTCTTCACATTCATCTATTCTAGGACAGAGCAGAACTGTTCTGAAACTCTGAGGAATCTTTGTGTCAGGTTGCTTCATAATATTAGTTAGGTCATCCTGAGACAACTCCTATACCAGAAATCTGTCTCTTAACATGATGTATTTTAGTCTGATAACAGCACCAGAGGTTAAAGGTAATTCTCCAAACCTAACAGCTCATAAGCTGAAGAAGAAGCAGACAAATTGAAAGTCAGAAATTTGCAGGTACTCACCAACCTGTTATTTTATGTCTGTAACTTTAAAAGTAATTTCCAAACAGGCACCAGTAGCTCATTCCTGTAATCCTAGCTACTCGGGAGATCTGAGGGTCACAATTCAAAGCCAACCTGAGAAGTAAAGTCCATGAGACTCTTATCTCCGATTAACCACCAAAAAACTAGAATTGGAGCTGTGGTTCCAGTGGAAGAGTGCTAGCCTTGGATATAAAAGCTCGGAAACAGTGCCCAAGCCCTGAATTCAAGTCCCAGGACAAGCACTTTAGAAAAGAAAAAAGCTATTCCCAGAAGAATCCTAGGCAGGATAGGATACAAGACCATCACGGATAACAACTCTTACAGGTGCTCCAATCCTTTATATTAGATGGTATAGTATTTTCAGGTAACCTGCACACATCCTGTAGTATACCTTTAATCATCTCTAGATTACTCATGATACTAGAAATGATATAAATGCCATGGAAATAGTTGTACCTTATTCTGCACATGTTCAATACAGACACAACATAGTTTTTCCAACTATTTTCAGTCTGAGGTTGATTGAACTAAAGGGTACACAGCACTTGGATACAGAAGAAAAATTGCATTGCTAAAGTATTTTGAGAACTATCCAGTAGATAGATTTTGACACCTATTGAGATGAAACTTGTGGAAAGCTACCATTTACTAAGATCATTTGTTAACCTATTGCATTGCCTTATCTAAAGATAATTTTGAAGATGAATGTAAAGTCTTCCTAAGAAATCACATGTTTTCAGAGTTATCCAGTAAAGTTAGGAAGGAAGGGAAAAAAGAAAGACATAATTACCCAAGACAAAAATGACAATCCTTCTCAATGTCTGTTAGCTACAGCTAACATAGAATGAATCTTGATTCATTCTATGACCATAGATAAGTCTCTCAGTTTCTATCCTTCTTCACAGAAATCCTTCTATGAAGCAACATATCAACCACTTAATGAGAATTGCATGGATAAACTTATGTCTCAGAGCACCTCTGAAACCTCTAAGACATCCAAGCTTACTCTCAATGATGGCTTGGTAGTGGTAGCAAAATCGAGCAATGGGAAGATTCTGAAGAAGAGATTGCTGAGTTTAAATCAAACCCTCACTGATGATGACCTGGAGGCAATTAACAATGATGAAAAAGAAGGTAAGGGATCAAGCACTACAAAATCCCTGTTTTCCACATGCCTGTCCTGTGGTTTGAACTCAGGGCCTGGTTGCTGTCCCTGAGCTTTCTTACTCAAGGCTAGCACTATTATCACTTGAGCTACAGCTCCACTTCTGGCTTTCTTTTTTTTTTTTTTTTTTGGTGTTTAACTGACGGTAAGAGTCTCACAGACTTTCCTGCCAAGGTCAGTTTCAAACCATGATCTTCAGATCTCAGCTTCCTGAATAACTAAGATTACAGGCACTCTGCTCAATTATTTTCCAGTTTTGAGTAAATGGAGACAATGGAGTGTAAGGGAAATAAAATCAGCATCAGAATTCAAGAGGACAAGTAGGCATTAGTTTGGTAACTACAACAAAGAAACATAATTTTTGTTCTGCAAGGGGAAGAGATAAGCAGAGGCCTGAATCTAGAATGCTTGCTCATAGACTCATTTCTTGGCCACATTGTTACAGACTAGACTTCTTTTTTCTTTTTTTATTGTGAAAATACTGTACAGAGGGGCTACAATTACATGGGCAAGATAATGAGTACATTTATCAAGCATTGTAGCCTCTTCCTTTGTTTTCCCCTTCCCTTCCCTTCCCATCCTCCCCCCTTCCCCCCCCCCCCCCCCCCCCCCCCCCGCAACCAATCCTCTCCGAGGGCCGCCCCCCCCCCACACCAAAGTTGTAAAGTTCATTTTCGACATAACATGTTACAGTCTAGACTTCTAACCTTTAGCAAAAAGTTGTTCTAGTCTGTTAGTAGGTGGCCTTCATGTAAACCTCCTTAGTCATATTAATCTATCTGTTTGTCACTATTCTCTACTAAAAATGTAGCTAATCAGAATCCCTATCTCACTAAATTGTTATAAAGATTAAATAAATCAATACTTCCAAACTTCTAGACAAGAACTAATGGCTGTAGACAGTAATTATCCAAGAATTCTTAGCTCTTATTATTCCTAATGCCTTTATCAATACAACCAACACTTTATTATTGGTTGTACTGTATTGCTAAACATTGAAACAATCTTAGATTCTCATTTTTATATATGAGGAAACAAAGCTCACTGAGATAAGTAACTACCTTGGGGAAACTCACAAATCTAACTCAGCTTGATCTAACTATGAAAACTCTGGTTTTTTTCTATACCTTTACTGCATACCACATAACAGCCCTTTAAGATAGCGCCTAACAAAGCACACATCTAGAGATTTTAAGAGAGAACATAAAAGTAGTCATTTGCTATGTAGAATTTATACCAGTACTATGGTATGTTCTCCCTTGGTCTTTTCTGACATTAAGCACACATATGCACACACACACACACACACAGGCTTAACAGTACTAAAAATATAATATATACAATATCATACCCAGCTTTTTTCACTCAGCAATATACTGAGAACATTTGTTAGAGCTGTTTTCACCATTATAAGAAATACCATAGGAAGTGGCATTGTAGCCCAAGTGGTAGAGCACTCACCTTGAACTGAAGAGCTTGGAGATAGCACCCAGGCTCAGAGTTCAAGCCCCACTACCAACAAAAAAAAAAAGAAATATCACAATAAGTATCTTTATTGATATCTTCATTTTTATAAGTTTTAATTGTGAAAATACTGTACAGAGGGGTTACAGTTACATGAGCAAGGTAATGAGTACATTTCTTATCACGGATTGTTGCCTCCTCCTTTGTTTTTCCCCTACCATCCCTTTGATGTCTTCATTTCTGATTTCTGTTGCTGTTTATTTCCTTAGAATAGTAAGTGAAGATAATATTCAGTTTCAAGGATTTCTGAAGCACTGATACATACCATTTTCCAGAAAGATGGTAGATAATACCCTCAATACATATATATACTACATATGTAATTACATATATATACTATATATTTAATATTTATCAAAAATATTTTATATACTATGTAATATTTTATGCATTAAAATATATTATGTATTTATTTATTTCTTATATAGCATATAACATATAAGTTATAATAATTATAAATTGTGATATAAAAGCTATATAGAATACTTTTATATTTTAGTGACAGATAATTTTTAACATATTCATTTTTATCTTAGTACATTCATTTGAAAATATAGATGGAGAATATTCATAGTATTCCTAGTCACTTAGAAACTTTCAAAAAACCAAAAATAAGAAACTTGGGGCTGGGAAGTTGGCTCAGTGGTAGAGTGCTTGCCTTGCATGCATGAGGCCTTGGGTTCGATTCCTCAGCACCACATAAGCAGAAAAAGCTGGAAGTGGTTCTGTGGCTTAAGAGGTAGAGTGCTAACCTTGAGCTAAAGACTGAGGGACAACACCCCGGCCCAGAGTTCAGGCCCCAAGACCAACAACAACAACAACAAAGAGAAAGAAAGAAAGAAAGAAAGAAAGAAAGAAAAGAAAGAAAGGAAGGAAGGAAGGAAGGAAGGAAGGAAGGAAGGAAAGGAAGGAAGGAAGGAAGGAAGGAAGGAAGAAAGAAAGAAAGAAAGAAAGAAAGAAAGAAAGAAAGGAAAGAAAGAAAGAAAAGGAAAGAAAAAAATAAGAAACTTGTACAAATGATCTCTTTTTCCATGCATTTTTATTGTTATCTATTTCCTGAGGGATTGGTTTTTAAAAGAAGCAAATAAATCCCTTTCAGAGCTACTTCCTACTTGTATTAACACATGTATATTATCTGTTTATACCTAGACATTAACCTGAATTCATTGTAATTCTTTCAGAAATCATTAGGCCCAGATCAGCACCTCATATCTTCGAAAGCAATGTAAAGTACAAATATATGAAGACTGCTAAACAAGAGTTTGTCCTGAATGATGCCATCAATCAAAGTATAATCAGAGACACATCGGGTCAATATCTCAGGGCTGCTTCAGTCAATAATTTAGACTATGAAGGTAAACGGCCAACATATCATATTCACTTACTTTTATTTATTTATTTCAATCTTTCTTCTTTAAAAGCATAAATTTCTCTACATCCTTGGCCTTGCAAAATTCTTCATTCTAATAGAACAAAGCCTATCACCCTCAGTAAAAATCCTATGTAAGAACAGACATATCATGCAAATCTACAAATGGAAAAGGAGCTCCCTGTCTTTGTAAAAGCTAAGTGGAGATGGAGCATAGAGCTTTCTGATATACCTCCTTGATTCCTATAGTCTTACACCTGATTTTTAAAATGAAATTGAGTCTCAGAAATATTGAAGGATTTAGTTAAAATTTACCCAGAAGCCATTGAGAAGTTATCACTCTCCAATAGAAAACCTGGTAACCAAACATATAACTAATGTCAAATTAGAACTTCAGTATCTTTGATAACATAGTGGTAGGACAAACAGCCAGTTAACTACAATGCTACGTGAAGAAAGTTAGTGTTGAAAAATTTTTGTCATGCAAATCCAATTTTCATGGACAGGCCTATTTTAGCTGTAGGACATGCCATTCAGTACATAAAATGATTTTCAAAGATCCAAAGAGACAGCTGTGCAATAAACAAAGCAGGATGCTGTTTTAGGTGCACTTCAGTTAGCATGCTTTTCACTCTACAATATAAATTATTTTATATTTCATTTTCCTACCTATTATTTCACCTGATTTTCCCACATGTTGATGAGATTTAGGTGCGTGTGCACGCACGTGTGCACACATGAACACACACACACACACACACACACATACACACACAGAAACTTTTTCTTTATTTTCTTTTGGTGCTAGGAAACCAAACTCAGGACCTTGTCCATGCTAAGCAAGCACTCTATCACTGAGCCACATCCCAGTCCCTGTATTTACCATTTTGAATGGAAGAGAGTATTCAACTGTGTTTCTATGTTGGTGCTATGTGTTTGATATAAATAGTTCTGCTATAGACACTGTTTCATTTACAAATGTGAATATTTAATATATAGTATATATAATTGTTTTCTTCTATTGGATTGCATCTTTATATTATATCCTCAATTGAAACTTCTAGATCAATAAGCATAAATAATTTTATAGCCCTTATTAAGCATTTTTCTCTCAGGGAAATTGAATTATTTTACATATGCATATGACTCTTTCTAAATGTCTTTAAGTTATTACAAATTTACAAACTAATAAATATCATGTCATATCCTACCGTTACTACAATAAATTCAACAAATATTTATTCATTCCCTAAGCATCCTGTCAACATAGAAAATACTAAAAATATTAACTAAGTATTTACCTGTCTAGATAATGTAACAATCATTGTGAAGAATGCATCGATGTCCAAAATTCTATTCCTCTATTTTTATTTTAACCACAGTTCCATATAGACAAACATACTCTCTGTACAAACAGTTGATTTTTATTCCAATACAATGTATTTTTTTTGGCCCTTCTCTTTGACAGTGAAATTTGACATGGGTGCCTACTTACCAAAAACAGAAGCTTCTAAATTTCCTGTGACTCTAAGAATCTCAAAAACTCGATTGTTTGTGACTGCTCAAGAGGAAGACCAGCCTGTGTTGCTAAAGGTCAGTTGTCTTCTGGCTCTAACTGAACCTCATTTATATCTGATTGCTGTAAACAATCCAATACGCAAATACCCCTAACAGAGTGACATAGTCCTCTTCCCTTCCTACAAAAGCCCCCTCTGTCCATCCTACCTACCCCTGTCTGACCTATCCATAAAGGTTATCCTAGGAAGAATCAATTAGAAAAGAAAATAGAGGTAACAGAAGAAAATAAATAAATTGACTTCTTACTTCTCTTTCCTTCCCCTGCCTGACCCTATATAAAATTAACCTCCATCCCAAGGCATCCATTTATTTTGTTTGGTTGGGTTTTTTGTTTATTCTTAAAGTACCACTAAGTAATTGTAAAAAGGTTTTCAATTCAATATGGCAGTTTGTAAGTACAGTGCACCTTGACCAATGTCACTTACATCCATTGTTCTATAGATCTTTACTTATTTCTGCTATCTGACCTACATGATAGTAAGCATTGTGACAGTGGGGATTGCTCCCCCCCTCTTTATTTCTTATTTAAGAAATTTAATCCAGCTGAGATAAAAGGATTAAGTATCTGCCAATGTGCATAAGGCAAAAGCTGTGAGTCAAGACGAAAATGCTAGCCATTTTCACTAATGCTACCATTATATCTCATCCCAAGCCCAACGTCTCTACCTAACTCTCAAACATACAGAGACACACTAATATTTTCGCTCTCTCACACATTCACACATTGATATTTTCATTATTGTTAAAAGGTAACTATATATGTGCATAATCTAATAGCTCCTATACCCTAATTAAAATTTATTGGATGTATGTGTTTGTCAAAATGAATCAAGTAAAATGAAAGTGTTATCTACAGAGTAGTGCAGTAGCTTCATTCACGAATTCATTCAACAAGTATTTACTGAGACCCTTTATTTTTTAAGCATAGTGCCAGCAGCTCTGGAGACAGTATGAATCAAAGCCCCCAACCTTATGGAGTTTTGCCCTCTGGGGCCATAGACAATAGACAAGACAATTGACAAAAAGAGAAACAACTCTTGGAGTTGGGCATTGTGAGGAGAAAAGATAAGCAATCCTTGTAGAGCTTGCATTGGGAAGTCTTGCGAGTTCATGAAGAGCTGTTAAAAGATTTCAGACAATGTCCTAGCCTTACTTATATTTCTTAAAGGGAGAATCAAATGGAAAAAAGATAATAGAGAAAGCATAAAGCCAACTGGGAAAGTTCTGACTATAGTCATGACAGAAAGTTAAGGAAAACAGGGAAGGGCAGTAGGGTAAAGAAAGCCCTCTTCATATCTTGGAACTAGAACCAACAAAAAGAGGAGAAAGTCTATTTGCTGAGATGGCAAAACCTAGGAGAGGAAAACATTTGAGGAATAAAATTCTTATTGGCATTGATATAGAAAAGAATACATTTTTTAAATTACCAAAGAAGCATCTCAACACAGAAAGTGAAATGTATTTTTCCATGAAAAAATTTTTAAATTCTATTCATATTCACAGGTAGAGTATGGTCTAAAGGGATTCTATTCTAAGTGTTTAGCTACTGATATATCTGGGAAGTTTTGTGTTTTGGTGTGTGTGTGTGTATATGTAAACACACATGTGTATATACATGCTTAACCTTCAAGATATGACTTAAATATAGAACTAAATGTCATCTAAAAACGAAATTATTTTCCCAAAGGTATAGTTTATATGCTTAGTTACATGTCAAAATGTTTAGAGGTTTTAGAGTGCTCAGATGCCATATATATCAAAGGCAAAACAATGTTACAGCTCCCAGTAAGATATTAGTGTCACTGGCAATCTTTGTGATTAAGTAACATTTCTAACCAAATAAATCAACTCTTATGCATCTAATATGCATGTAATAGATGCTCGATGAATGAATGAAATGACCATCACAACAGAGTCATAGGCTTAACATGCTTTATCTCATGAAGGGCAAATGCCTAGAGATTTTATTTCAGTTCTTTTTCCAACATCTTCTTTTCCCATAACAGAAATTTGGTTCTCTTTGTCATAGGAGATGCCTGAAACACCAAAAACCATCACAGGGAATGAGAGCAACCTCCTCTTCTTTTGGGAAAATCAGGGAACTAAGAACTACTTCACGTCAGCTGCCCATCCAGAGCTATTTATTGCCACAAATGAAGAAAGTCTGGTGCACATGGCAAAAGGGCTACCCTCCATCACAGACTTTCAGATATCATAAAGCCAGCCTTAGCTCTCAAGTCCTCTCACTTGTGAAGTGTTGACCATCTGTATGTACCATGTACATGAAGAAGTCAAGTCAAATTCATTACTCTTAGTCATTGGCTGAGCATGTGCTGAGCCTTTGTAATTCCAGATGAATGTTTACCCTCTTTGTAAGAGAACAAGGCCTAATAGAACCAACACTAACATATAATGTTGCTTGTTATTTAAAGAACACCCTATACTTTGTATGGTACCAATGATTATAATTATTATTTTTCAAAGCATTCTCACAGTTTAGTTCTACTGTGGCAACCAAAAGGACTCTACCCTTATTACACATGAGTTGTCTAAGGTGTAAGGAGACTAAAAAATATGAGAACAGTTGGAAAGAGAGGCCATAATTTCATTCAACTGTGCACTTTTGCTTCTAAATTACTAATAGGCTCTTAATCAAATAAGTTAACTTTCCTGGACCTCAATTTTCAAAAGAAACAGATACTAACCATTTATAGTTCCTGCCTTAATCATTTTTTTATGCCAGTGAGGTAATTTTGTTAAAAATACCTCTTGAAACTGAGCCTCAAGATGATATACTATGGAATGTTATTTTTAAATATTTATATATGTGTGTATTTATAAATATATTTAAGATAATTATCATGTTATTATATTTATGGAAGCTCCTTGCATCCTCTAAGGGTTTCCAAGTATTCTCAATGGCAAAGTTTTCCAGGTTTGAGTGAATTGGATATACTTATACCAAGACACTGTAGGCCAGATCATGCTTTTCCTATAACAATCAGACTATATTCCAATACTTGAAATCTTTTACATTGTGGTAATATATTTGTGTTAGTTACTTTCTTTCACTCTTCTGCCTCTAAGTTTGCTGTAGCATTCTTAAGTCATTCAACTTGAACTGCAGTTAATTCAAACTACCTAAAATGGGAGGAACTAAACCCTAGAAATAATTGAGTCACTGTTACCTAAACTTTCTTTTCTGGAATGTAAGTGATATTTCTTCTGAATTCTGAAAGTTGTGATCAAATCATAGTGTTACATTATAATCAATAATGATGACAAATATACTATTGGCAATCATAATTGGATAAAATTTGCAACAAATCTGATCTGATTGTTATGTATTATCTTGTTTGTTTGGGTTTGGGAGGAGTATTTTTTTTCTTTTCCTTTTCTTTTGTGAATGGATTATTTTTTGATTTATTGTCATCCTTATTCCCTACCAGCATAATAATTAGGAACAAACAGTAAAAACCCACATAAAACACTAATTGTACTATTATTTTACTATGCCAAACCAAGATTTCATAGTTTGTCTTTCCCTTTCTGTTAGCTGACATTACTCATAAATGATACTGAAAATGACAATATTCCAAGATTTTATACATATACATACAAGTGTTCATACATAAACTCACACAGAGATGGTAACATTGAAAATAGTATTGGCACTGGGTACCAGTGGCTCATACCTCTAATCCTAGTTACTCAGGAGGCTGAGATCTGAGAATCATGATTTGAAGCCAACCCAGATAGTAATGTTAATATGACTCTTATCTCTAATTAACCACCCAAAAAAGCCAGAAGTAGAGTTGTGGTTCAAGTGGTAGAGTGATAGCTTTAAGCAAAAAAGCTCAGGGACAGTGCCCAGGCCCTGAGTTTAAGTCCCAGTAGCAGCACAAAAACAAATAATAATAATAATAACCCATTTTGAAAGTATGACTATAAGACATGGTTTGTTGTCAAGAATTAAATATAATATTCAACAGATGGTTAGTTCAGTAAGCCTAGTATGGGATTGCATTCTCTTCTTATTTTGAATACCATGCTTTTGTTCAGACAGCCTATACATTTGTTTTTCAAACCCAAATGACATTGTTGATTCATATAATACAGTGTAGGCAAATAAGATCTATGGGTTTCCAACCTAAATTCAAAACTTTATCCTATTGAATTTAATCTTTTTAATTTGTCCCCAAATCTTCTAGATTATTCTGATTCTCTTGTCTAGTAACCATATACTAAATCTCCTGGTAAGACATCATATAATGTAGAGCCTAAAGAATACAGCTTTATGATCTTATTTCATTTAAATGGTTATTATTTGTATCAAAAGAGATTATGAGAAGGTATACACTAGAATATTAACAATTCTTATCTCTAAATGATTGAATAATTTATAAGCTTTAAGGTTTTCTGTCCATATATTGTTCTCATTGTTTTGTACTGGTCCTGGGGCTTGAACTCAGAGCCTAACTGCTGTCCTTGAGATCTTTTGTTTAAGGCTACCACTATACCTACAATTTGAGCCACAGATCTACTTCTAGTTTTTTGGTAGTTAATTGAAGACAAGTATGATTGTCTTTCCTGGCCAGGCTGTCTTTCTACTATGACCCTCATATCTCAGCCTCCACAGTAGCTAGGATTACAGGAATGAGCCACCAGAACCTGGCTCAGTAAATTTTCTTTTTTTAGTAAATGTATGCTTATTTGAGAAAATACCAATTTATAAAACATTTATAATTTAAATTATTAACTTCAATGTATATAATTATACCTCAATTTTAAAAGTCATTTTTAATTTCTAGGAAAAAAGAAAGATATCCCTTTTTCATTTCTCTATTCCTATAACCACAATGGCCTTTCTTTGGTACCCTCTCTCAACCCAGAGTATGAGATATTCTATAAGATAAATGTTTTTTGCCTAAAAGTCACTATAAGGTAATTTATATTTTTTGTGCATACATTATATGCTTTTCTCTCTCTACCCTTTCCTATCCTCCACACTTACTGGCCAAGAACATGTTTGCTTCCTCTTTTGAAAAACTCACATCCTACGTTTTATAAGAATGCCTGACAGGGCTGGGATGTAGCTTAGTGGCAAAGCGCTTGCCTAGCAAGTGCAACATCCTGGGTTCGATCCCCAGTACCAAAAAAGACAAGACAAAAAAATACAGTTAAAAAAAAACAAAGAATGCCTGACAAACAATAAAAGATCTTATACAATTTCATGAGCAAAGAGGCTGAATCCCTGGAAGGTATAATTTGAAGGTTCTGAATAAGTATTTCTAGGATGAACCTCTCTTATGCACCCCCCCCCCCACACACACACACAAAGATAACTCCCATGGCTATCACTGGAGGTGGTGATTGGAAGTATATAAGTTTGAGTTAAGCTGAATAAAAAGCTAGTAAGATCCTATAAGAGGTGCTAGAAAGCACTGACCACTTACTTAGGCCCAAGAATTAACTAACAGCAGAAAAAATGCTTGTCATCCTTGCCTCTACCTTGTGTCTTTGCTCTCTGATGTCACTTTGCAATTTCTTTGGTATCTAAGGACAGACTGATCACACTGAAACTACTCGTAAGGAATAATACAGCCTTTTATGTCAGACCAACAGTGATGTCTTCACTCCCCTCAAGTGCTCAAGTGATGAAAAAATAACAAGTTCTCTGGAACTCCTTCAGAAACAAGGACTGAAATAATGATGAACCAGGCAATACTTTGACCAGAACACTTTAATAATTTTACATACCTTTCACCCCTGCCCCAATATGTTGTTTATTTAAACATATACTTCATCCCTGTACCACAAAGACAGCTAAAGATAGGTAGTGTGCTGTCTCCCCAGGAAAATATCCTTTCTGTGCTCTTTACAGTGCCTCTTGGCATAAGGGCTGGTTCTGACATGTGAACTACAGAGTTTGGTCCTGGGATCAGCTTCAGAGAGACACATTAAGAAAAAAAATCCACTCTCTAGCCATTAGCCATTTTCAATAAGTTGATCCTGAACAAGAAGGAAGGATGAATTGATTCCCAGCAGCTGCTGGAATTACTTTTAGGGATTTTTTTGTTATTATTATGTCACTTTGGCCAGCATCAGCTGCTTTTAAACCATTATCTTGTGAAGTAAGGGAAAGATCCTTTGAATTCAAAGGACTCTTAGATCTGACTTGAATGTGTTCTCCCTTATCTATGCACCTCAGGCCTTCTTCCTTTTCCTTGTTGTCCAGAGGCTCTTCTGGGCCATTTGGGGTTCTGCTTAACTATTTGGGGTTTTGCCATTTATCTGACAGGAAAATTTGGATCCTCTGTCCCAAGACTTTTTGAGCATTTGGACTCATTTGAAATTTTTATGCTGGCAATTAGCAGGGAAGGGATGATAGAAACAGAGAAACCAGGGTACTTGTGTTGGACTCTGTGGTGATTCACTTAAGAATAAAAGGACATAAGTCTATCTTTCTCCCTATGGAAAATTCTAGTTGAAATTCTAGAATTCTAGTCCAAAAAAGAAAAAAAAATATGGAAAGCAAAAAAATATGGTTCATAAAAAGATATACCCTGAATTTTAATGTACTTGTTTTTGTGTCATTTTTGTGTGTGTGTCATTTTTTTTGTATATCTATTAGTTTGTGCCTATGATTGATTGGCTTGATAGAAGCTAAAATCCAAATTTGACAGCAGCAACAGTCTTGTTCAGAGATTGACTCTTATTTCAGTCATCAAGACAAAAGCTAAAAGAGAGCTGAAAGAAAAGCACTAACAGAACTCAATTGGCTCCAGGAATACCTAGAAATAACTAACAAATGTACTTATGGCCACTGAGTTGAGTTTTTACAAAATCCTGAGCTCATAAGGGCTTCAATCTAGGTATCTCTAATGTAAACCTTTCCTATATATGTCTATGTATTATATATATATATATATATATATATATATATATGTATGTATGTATGTATGTGAAGATCTTTAGGATAATTTTTGTAGAATAAATATAGAAAAGTTATTAATTCTGTTCTTCCCTCCTCCCCCACCCCTAGCAGCTTTCCAAAGTTTTTATGCTATCTAGTTCTAACAACATTGCAGGAACTCCTGGAATTTGGGCCTGGGGTTGTTTGTAATACAAACTAGCACCTGAATCACCCTTTTAATTGTTGGATATAATCCTGGCCTTCTGATGAATGGCTTGACAAAATCAGTTAATATATCTCACCCTTAATGAGAGCCTTGATGAATGTATTTAGTTACAGCAAACACAAGCTTCCCTAAGAGAGGAAGGATCCCACTCTTCAAAATCCCACTCCTGAGCTGTCCCCACATATACAGAAAAGAAAGTCAAGTCAGTTTCAATTATCAGCAGGAAAAATACATTTCTGGCAATAGTTGATCAAACAGGCAGTGCCTGTTATAAAAGTTTCCCTTTTGATATCTGGAATAATGTGTCTATCTCATTTTATATGTATCTATGATATCTTGAAAGGAAGAAGACAACTTTGAGGACTGTGCATAGCTCTGATGTGAGCTTTATGTTCTTATTATTAGAATCTGTAAGTCCTCTCTCCTTATTGAAGGATCTCTCACATGCATCCCAGGGGACCACGCAGAGGCAGGCAGGCACAGGAGAAAGATTATTATAAGGTTTATTAGAGGAGCCATATTTCCTCCAAAAGGGAGCACCATCCAGGTAGCAGGAGGGTCTGAGGGAAGGAAGTGAGGTAGATGGGAGTTCAGGTGGATCTGGGTGGAGAGAGGGAGGGGCCAGCTGTATGGCAGAAACTCCAGGGATGGGAGGAACTCAGGTCTGAGTGGAGCTGAGGACTAAAGGTGAGTATAATACAAACATTCCCCACTCAGTTGCTTAATAAAAATAAGATGTACCAGGCCATGGGGTATGGGTGGAGGTCATTTCTTCTAGAGTTACTTCTTCCTGTAAAGGGGTGGAGTACTCAGGGGTCCTGCTTTGTTGCTTGGCCAGGTACTGTCAAAGAAGCATCTGCTTGACAGTGCTTGGTAAAGGTCCTCCTTTTTCTATGACAATATCTAAATGCAAGACACAATTAATAAAAGGCAAAAATTGTTGTTAGTACCCAAGAGAGGAATATGCCATGGAAGGATTGATTTCCAGAAGGGGCTATCAAAGATCTGAAATAGCCTTTTCTCTCTCGGATTGGAGACACAACATGTTACTTGACTCCTGGCATCCTGGAGAAGGGGCAGTAAGACTTTTCCTGCTTTAGGATCACAGTAACGTGAGGAGGGAGTAGCAGAAATATTTAAAGGTATCAGAGCCAACGAGTGTCATAGGTTCTTTTGGCTACTTCTTACTG